ATGATTTATGAATGCTGAAGTGGAATGGATTTGGAAGGAAGCGATTGAGGTAGTGGCGTGATTTAAGGAAATGTAGTGTTAGCTGTTTGAAGGGATTGAGGAAAACCTCTGTGAGGGGTCCAAGATTTGAAACTCCCGAATACGAAGCAGCATTGATATTCACTCGGCCGGATATCCGGTTTAATCCTTATTGATTGCAACATATATTGCATTTTGTATTTACTGTGGGATTTGAGATAAGTTGAGTTTTACTTCTCGACTTTTAGGACATTACATCGATGATACATACATTTTGTCCATGTTACGAGTTACAGTCTATTTATATAGACGACGTTTCGACAGTTGTTATCAGGTTGTCGTTATACCGTAAGATTTTTTTCAAGTCACAGTAGATCGTGGAGTGATAAGTTTAGTTTGACGTTTTAATACAAGCTGAGACATGGAATGACGCTCGTTATGACGCATAATGACGGCAAATGAATCAAGTAGCGTCACATCACAAGACATTTAACAGCAAAATGTCCAGTACGGAATTTATTTTTCAGGTGATTGTCTGGATTCGCCTGGAACATTTAACTTGGTAATCCGTGAAGTGTATTGAACTTCGACGCATTAGACTGCCACTGTAGGAAATGAATTATGAATGAATGTAGGATCGTGTAGTGAACGCTTAACATTTGCTGGAGGTGCAGTTTGTATGCTTGTGAGGGATTCGAGATTATATTCATCACTAGATGGGGAAGCGATTTGAATTGCCTACAAGGACGGACGAGTTAAAATAAAGTTGTATTATTCCATGTTCATGGGTTCTTCGCTTTGTAATACATTATTTATGGGCGTGGCATGAAGAAGACACATTTATTTTATTTTTATGAGTGTGGTTCGCACGCCCGTCCAGATTTACAGTCCTCGAATTTGTCTAAGATAACATCAAGACATAATCTCATACTCTAATTTGGAATTTATCAGCCAGGTAGTATTAAAACTCACAAATACGCTTGGCGTTATTGATGGCAGTGTTCTGGGTTCTTTCACCGTTGCAATCGTTGTCTGTGTACCGGCGTTTCGGAGGGAAAAATAGCTTCCATCTTCAGGGATCGAGTGTGGATGTTAAAGAAATCGAATTTTTCTCATCTTCAGGAACAGGTTTAGGCCAGCAGCATTTGCAGTCAGAGTTAACGACGGGGGAGGGGATGGGTGAAGAAGCAGCTTCCGGACCAATAGCAAGAGGTCCTTCTCACTGCACCAGAGTTTAAGGATGGGGAAAGAGAGACAGAACGAGAAATTCCGTTTGTTTAAGGGCGCAGGAAGGAAAGTACGTTCAAGAGGATGAAATGTTCTTGGGGAGGCTGTACTCTGCTCTCTGTAGTCCTACATTGCATCTGAGTAATCGAGTTTGTCCGCACACAGTGGCGTGTCTTATGTCTAGCCGGTTAGTTCAGCGGTAATGCTTCTGATTTGTATTCCACAGGCACTGGATTCATTGTCAGGATCGTACATAGAACCTGGATTGTTTGTTTTTCTCACCCCTTCATGTCGGAGTTAACCCTTAAATTGCCACAGTCAGTTCGTTAAGAATCTTCGGCTACCCGCAAATCGGATTCCCGGTTATCGCTTTAGAATTACCACCTACAGCTGCTTGTAAGTTGGACTGTCAGTGGAGTACAGATATCCATTTTTGAGGAATAAGATTACGGTGTTTAATTGATTACTCTGGCTTATAATCGGTACAGCATTACAGCCGATATGAATCTGTCATGTAGCCCTAATTGGGTTTCAATTCACGTGTAGTAGGCTTCCCCCATAATCAACACATGTAGGCCTCGAACCTATAATTCTATAGCACAGGGTGTTCCAGACATTCATCATGTGCTCATAAAAGTCCGTCATAAAGACTCTTTTTCAAGCATTTCGAGTCAGTTAGCCTTCACTCTATATTTTTTCATGTTATATTTTAATAATATTATTTTATTTACTTATTGATTCCAAGTCCTTGCTGCATAATAGTTTTGTAGATGGGAACTAGCGTTACAATTGAACCTGGTGAATCCGAGACGTTGGTAAACCACGTACTTCGAGGTCTACACGGTGTCACAGGACGGAAGACAGTAAGAATTTCTCTGTTGTCTTTGGAATATAAGTTGTGACACTGACAGTGGACGGAATTTTGTTTACAGTCTGTCGAATGAAAGTACAGGGATACCTCGTTTTATTTCGCTTCGCAGATATTGCGCTTTTTCCCCCAAATTGAATGTTTGTGGCAATCCTGCGTCGAGCAAGTCTATCGGCGCCATTTTTCCAACATCACGTGCTCACTTCGTGTCTCTGTGTCACATTTTGGTAATTCTCGCAATGTTTCTTTAGACATAATTCTATTGCACACTTAATAGACTACAGTATAGAGTAAACATAACTTTTATATGCACTGGGAAACCAAAAAGAAATCGTGTGACTCGCTTTATTGCGGTGCTTTGGAACCCGCAATATCTCCGAGGTATGCCTGTATTTGTTTGTGGGCAGTTAACGCAGGAGGCGTGGAATTTGACCGGCGACCCCTGCAGATATCCTGCGAAACTGCTCGACTGAAACTAGGCGTATTAGCAGCCATAACTTTATTTCCAGCTCGCTTGTCATTCAGTTGAAATTTGGTACGTCAGTAACGTAAAACGCAACATTTTACACTTTTACGGACCTGAAAGTGTTTCATCTACACTTTTAAAATTGTAAATCGCTTTATCCTCTGTCAGTCTTATTTATGCGCTGATGGTAATTTGATTTTACGTTCTAACTTCGTTTGGGCCATCTGTTTTAATTACACTGTTTCAGTTTGATAATTGACTTGCTTTTAGAGGGTGGATAGTTCCCTCTTTTATGATCTTACAGTGTGTTTAAAATTTTGGTTATTGATTTTTCTAAAAACATGCCACCAGGAACCTTGGTTTTACTGATGACAGTGTGTGAGTCGGTATACCGACTCTGGTATAGTTTTGGGCAGTACAGATTTTGTATTCACCAGGACGTCCACATCATCTCTGGGCCCCCAAAAGTACGGTTTTGAAATCGTGCACAATGGCACAACCTCCACATAAAGTTTTATCCAAATACGTCAAATGATTCTCGAGTTGAATCGACTGGACAGACGGACGGACTGACACGATTACCCCATAAAGCGTTGTCCCTATGTACATATTGCAAAGGATGCAAGAAGGAAGAAATATAACAGATTACGAGGCTCGTACGTATAAATGCTTGAAGAATTGTTTTTAAAATATAAATTTTAGATTAATATTACCTCATAACCCTCACATATCTTCTGTCTTCTACGAAATGCCTTTCTTTATACGTATTTGTCGGTGTCTAGTTGATGACGAATAAACACTTTTAACTTTTATTCAGAAAGTAGCGTCAAGGTTTATCCAGCTAAGTAAGTTTGAAGCGAAGATGGCTGTCTTCAGGGGTGGTGCACTGTGTAGTCTATGTACAGTCTTGTGCAAATTAATGTGAACAAAGTGGTGTTTTGAGCTTGATGGTGCTGTTTATTAACTTGGAAACCATTTTTTTTTGCATATGTCTAGTGGGTTCCGTGAACTTACTAATGTTTTGTTTTAAAAACTTTATTATTTGTGTGAGCGGCTTCTTAGAGAAAATTGATCTGGCACCTAGAAAAATTAGTAAGGTATGTAATTTGCATGAACACACTTCATTTACTCAGAGGGAAATTGCAGAACATTAAGAGGTCAGTTCGCGAACTACTAACGGGATTATCAAGATAAAAACAAGACCCTTTCTGTTTAAACTTAAAGTAAGTCATAATGTGGGCAAAAAGGAAAATAAGCTTTAAATATTACTGTTTTCTTCTGCGGAGGCCAGCGCGTAGTAGATAAGAGTGAGACGAATTTTTTACTTTACAGCTGGATTTCAATCTGTGATAAGATTTATATTAATCCGAATTTTAAAGGTCACTAATTTATTTCTGTCTTATCTTAGTCGAAGAAAATCGTGTAAAATGTGAAGTGTGAATTCATTTGTCTTCCCACATACCAGGCAGCAAGCCAGATATTTTTTTAAAACTTGCTAATTATTCCAGTGCAGTAAGGGTAGTTTTTGTGTCAGGGGACTGTGTAACCCCTTCAAGACGCGTGTGATCTATGGGGTAGTAGCCAAATAGAACGCGAGATGTTCGTGGCAGCTGCTACTCCAGGTCTGATGTGATACGCCCGTCTCTGTTTCGCAGCTAAACAGTCAGTTGTTTGATTCGATTATGCTGATTGCCCTATAGAATGTAAGTTATTTGCATTTCTATTCTATTACTGAGTTTGCTCTGGAATAAATTTTCAGCGAAGTACGAGAGATCTAAAAGGAATTACTAATGAACTAGATAAATTGCTTACTGTTGCGTTCTATTCGGATTAATTGTTAAGTGTAAAAATAAATACGCAAGAAATAACATCGCTATGAATTTGAAAGTCTTGTTTGGTGTAGAACTGAAGTCAGAATGAACTGAGTACACGCGCATAACTCATTTACATACCGTAGGGTTTGGGCGTGGGGGTGGCCGGGCTCATTATCGTACATTTCAAAGATTTTTCTTTCTTTCTTTCTTTCTTTCTTCCTACTGCCGAAGACATTACATGGAATAAAACTGGAAACGTGATCCTATTTCTAGGATTTGAGGTTCTCACCCCGGTGAGTCCGAAGATGGCTGTCTTCTGGGTTGTAGCGCCGCGTAGTCTGGCTGAAGTTTGACAACGTTTCGGATGTCCTTGTTGCCGCCATCATCAGGGCAATGGTAAACGTTGATGAGGGGGTGCTTAATAAAACTCGAGGGCAGTTTTGTCTTGAGCGTTAAAGTTGGCTGTGTTCATAATCGCCGTCGTGAGAAACTGAAATATGATTTATTCCACGATTGTTTGACTTGAGAGTTGTGGCTTTCTTCCACTGATTGCCGTTGTTTATGTATGATTAGACGCTCAGTGTCGTCGTCTTGTGTGTCTCTGCAGCTGTACGACCGAATCTCGAGCAAAGTGGTGAGCCCGACGCGCGCTCCACCTAGCGACGCCGTACAAAAGTGCCGAGAAGTTGCAGAGGCGCTCCGAGAGTTTGATCAGAACTCTCCCGACGTGGAGTCCGATCTAGGGGAGGTTGAGGAGCTCCGGGATATCCTGGCGCGACCACATCTCAGGGTGAGTACCTTGTGTTTGTTTTCATGTCGGCATATCGGAACAACAAATTTTCTTTCAGGAATTTAAAACACGCGATGGTCTCGTGCGTTAATCGAGGCGCAGTTTTTTTTTAAGGTTGGTTTTTGTATTTCCATGATCTGTTCGACGTCTCCCCATCTAAACGCCTGGGATTGTAATTGAAGCCTCTCACTTTGAGATGAATGTGTTTGTGTTAAATTATATGCAATGTCGTAAAACACTTTCCATTTTAATAGCCACCTTTGCCGCAAATCATCAATTTTGTGTTCTTATTTGAATCTTAGTACACATGAGCGCTGCCAGTAATAGATGTTTAATTATGTTACATTTTACAATTATTTTAATATATTATCTTTAGACTATGTTAATATTTGAAACTGTTATCTGGTGAGAATTTTCACTGTATGACTAAAAATAATTCTTTACGCTAGTGACCGACAGATTGAGAAACGTCGAGTTTAATTACACATTTTAAGTTTTTTTTTTTTGAAATTTTGTGCTTTAATTATTTAAAAATTCGTAATTTATGTGATACTGTTGGTAGAATGCCTATCTAAATAGTAAGCAGGTGAGGAAATTATATTTCCTGTTATGCTGTTTTAGAAGATTGTGCCATTATCTGAAGTTTTCCAGATTATAGGTTACAAGTTACTGACTTTCTTACACGGCGTATGGACAAAGTAAGTGTAACTGTAGTGAATCAGTTCTTACAATTTATCTTTCATCTTGTAAATTTGGCTTTTTCCCCTTCCATGGCTCGTTCTGATGCAGAACGACTCAATGATGAAGAGATAATATCAATTTAATGTGAGCAAGAATTCCTTTTAACGGTTGAAAATATTCGCTGTTACAGTTCCATTCGACTTTTGCGCTGATTAGACGTACGAAGAATGCTGAAATTTTAGCTTGGTACAACATAACCATTTAGTCCGTTATTTCACGATTCTAGTGTATTCGTCGTATTAGGAATGTTAGACTGTACAAAGTTCCAATTTATGGGCAGCTCATTGCTCGCCAAGCGTCTGGAAATAATGACGTTCTCTTGTCTTGACCGGTGGTTATGTGCCCTTTATGTTCTGTAAAAAGCGATCCTGGGCCATTCTAAGGCGGTGATTCCTCGATGGCGAGAAATATTCGTTGTTGTTTTTGCCTTCCGAACTAATTTCTCACATCATACTGAATTTATTTTATATTCAAATAAATTATTTTCTGTTAGATGTAATAAATGAGGAGTACCACAAAATCTGCATTAAAATAACAGACCTGGAGTAATTGACGTAACACATGACAGTCGAGACGCGCTGACTAGTCAGTTGTATGTAACAGGTGTCTTTGATATTAGACTCTACAGCCGGGGTTCGATTTCCTTCAGGTGTAGGGACAGTGAGGTGACGTATTTGGAAGAAAACACCACAATGCAAAATATAAACACAAAATAACTTCTGAAACAAGACTTTATTCTTCAGTGCATTAAGAGCGTTTATATACAGTCTGTCCCAAAAATATATGCACAGAAAGTTAATATTCTGTATTTTAACAAGTTAAATCTTTTTGGAACACACTATGGTATTAACATACACATGCGCTGCATAGTCTTCGATAGGCCTAATTAATTAAATGTTGTTGAGTTATCATACCTGTTATACAGCAGTAAAATATATCCGCATGACGCCGAAGTTGAACGGAATTGTACTAAAAAGATCCCTTACGCCGAACGCTCGCCAGGTAAAGTCAAGTCAAGACAACGTGAGTCATGGGGCGCACACGTGGCCTGCTGTCCACGTGGTTACGTTGCCTAAGGGAAAGGCGCTTCATCCATTCCGATCGGTCGGTCTTAAAACATCGTGTTGACACGCGCGGTCTGAGGCATCGTGCTTCGGACCGGTGGTTCGAGTCTCGGGGAAAGAAATTTTCTCATGAGCTTTCGACCGGTGTATGGGACCGGTGCCAACCCAGCATCGTGAGGAAATTGGGGAGCTACAATCCGGTCAGGAAAGCTAGCAATGGCTGGGGGTTCGTCGTGGTGACCACACGTCATCCTATATCTGGTTCGATGATCGTTCACCTCTGCTTAGGCATGTGAACGTGAGACCAGAGCTTTGGCTCTCAGAGTTCTGTTAGGCCACGGATTATTATTATTATTATTATTATTATTATTATTATTATCCCATCTATTCACCACTTTATGGGATATGTACTTCCATGTACCCGAGACAGACCTTGTCCCTAAGGTACATAGGGCAGCAGCTGTTTCCGGGATCCATATTGTTTTTAACAAGTGCCACATATATTATATAATTTTATTTTATGAAATTATTATTATTATTATTATTACAGCTCCCTTAAATAATATACAAAACAGCAAGTGGATATTAGTCTGTCATCTCTCGCACCACCTCTGGTTAAGTAAACGATTGCAGCACCCCTAGCGTTGGTGTGTTACATTACGTGTATTGATTCAATCTCCAGGCCGAGTGACTGCCATTGAGCCACTGTTACCAGTCACTAAATAGTTCCTGTTCTCCCGCAGGAAATGGATTTTCTTGAAGCCCCTTGAACAGATCTAAAAACTTTCACTGCAACCCGCTTAGCGTCGCCCGTCGACAGAAAACCGTCCATAGGATGTTCGACCTTCTGTGAGGATTTCTTGATGTGAAGTCTTGTTTTGAAGTTTGTGTCGCTGAAAATGTATTGTATCTCCTCGTATACTAGTCGCAAGATATCTCCGAGCTTCGTTGACTGTTACAAATGTGCACTTTCGCGGCCGGCCAGCGAACCCTGATAAGGGGACATATGATATCTTCAACTCCTCACCCTTTTATCTTCCCTTTCCTTCTTATTATGGCATGGCTGAGGCTTGCTACTGTTTTCCACCCAGTATATAGCGTTTACGCTGATAAAGATGAACATAACTTTAACTTCTTAGCTTCCGGCAGGAAGTGCATGGCTCATTGCGAAGCGCAGGCCCTAATTGTGACTAAAATTATTCACACATCCATATACTTGTTAATGAAGTCACGTCTACTGGGCCACTCGTGGAAAAGATTCCTACTAAAATCCCGTGTGTTCAGTGAGAAAAGCGACTAGGTTATAACACACGCCACTGAAGTGGCTAAGACGCATTGTGAAAGAGACCGGCATCTCGAAATGGCCAGGAGTCAAAGCGACGACGAAGCTGCTTAAATTTCGGCCGTACAATCCGACTTTAGTTCATACTTTGCAACAGCGTACAGGCATACCTCGGAGATATTGCGGGGTTCCAGACCACCGCAATAAAGCGAGTCATACGAATTCTTTGGTTTCCCAGTGCATATAAAAGTTATGTTTACTCTATACTGTAGTCTATTAAGTGTACAATAGAATTATGTCTAAAGAAACATTGAGAGAATTAACAGAATGTGACACAGAGACACGAAGTGAGCACGTGATGTTGGAAAAATGGCGCCGATAGACTTTCTCGGCGCAGGGTTGCCACAAACCTTCAATTTGTAAAAAAAAACGCAATATCTGCGAATCGCAATAAAACGAGGTATTCCTGTATTGGTTTTTGTAGCCAGTTCATGGTGATGAAGTTAATCCTCGTTTGTCTTTATTTTCTGTTGAAGTGTGATTTTATTTTCACGGACGTGCCCCCCCCCCTTCAAAATAACAGGTGCTGGAACATCATTTTCAGGCCCTGTTGTGACGTAATCAGTGATTGCATCTTGAGTTCTTAACACTGCGAACGGATGGATTTGACACTATCTCAGTCTTGTCTACCCTCGACTCTCCGTTAACACCGCCCTGTTTATAACTGGATATAACTTTTCTTCCGCGTCATGTATCCGCCGTGTTTAGGTGTGATTCTGCACTCCACACTTCTCTGACGAAATCGCTGTCGGCACAGTTCCAGGGCAGCGTTCGCCTGAGCCCACATTGAGAGCACTTGTAAAGCCGATGGATGTTTACAGTCGTTTCCGTGACCCTCCGGAACGTTCGATGACTTTCCAAGAGTTTATATGTATAGTAAGATCCCAAAAAAGATACCTGTTTCTCATTCTTTCTAGAACTGAACCAAAATGTGGTGTACTGTGGACACTGGCTGCCTCATCCCGCAAGTCCACTTCAATTCCTCTAAGTTCATTTTATCGTATCGCGAATTTCTCTTAGCGCTTAGCGGTGTGTCATGCAGTTCCTATTGAGAAGCGGGAACTGACAGTTGTTTTTAGCTTGATGAGTCAACGCCTGTATCACAAGCTGTTTGACTGTGTTAACCAAAGTTACTTGGGCGTGTAACGAGAAATGGTACAATGTAAGCGCCTGTGAGCGACGACCCGCCTCACAAGAGCGTCAGAGATGTTGCCGCATGTTTACGGGGCTGTGGTTTAATGTACTTCGTCCTAACCGAGGCACAGTGTGATACTGACAATGAGGAATATTTAATTCATGTTTATGTACCGTAATTATGTTGAGAAAGCGGTTCCGGCCGACTTTAACTGTTTTTGTTACTACATTAGTTGTACCCAAGACTGCTGTTCTGAATTTCAGTTCCACTTATTAAGAATAAATACGCGGATTTGGTTTGATTCAATTAAAATAATTTCCTTTAAATCACTGATACGCTTCATCGTTTATGACTTGCATGTGTACGCGTTCAGATTTATTCCATCCTCAGTTGATTTGTGCACTAAAATGAACCAGTTGTATTCCGCGGGCTTCGTGAACATGATATTGAAAATACGGTCGATAAACATTCGATCAAACTTTAGTTAAACTCTAAAATCATTAACATGTTAAAGTAATGTTAAAAGTATTGCATAAATTTAAGCGTGATGGACAATAACCAATGACGCTCAGAATTTTTATATAACATCGTGTATCACGAACTCAATGTTCCGACGTTAGATCTCTTTACGAATCATACCTTGTTGTTTGTACTGATTCAGTATTAATGTGTCCTAAGTAACTTTCTCAGATAAACCCTACATCGTTCCACTTTCCCCATTGTACCATACAGCTCTGGTACGAAGGTCGAGTGGCCTCGATGACGTAACTTCCGTTTATGACGA